CTGGACCCACCATGCGAAGCTAACATCCTTCGTGACCTCATGGATTTATCGTCTTTATATATAATTTACTAAAATACCAATTGCCCTGAAAATTAGAAAGAAAGAGATACATTTTTGATAGATATAATATACTTGTATTTATTTATATTTTGTATAATTTATTGACATCTTTTAATTGAAAATTGCAAGAATTCTGAAACTGTTTTCCGTATTCCACAATAATTTCTTTTATTCTTATTTTAGCTTTCCGTAATTTAGAGAAAATGTGGAATATTTGGAGGTATATTTTATATTAGGAAATAGAATTATGGAAATAGGAAATTCGTGGAATCAGCAACAGTATCCACAATAAATTAAGTCATTGTCCGATTAAAGTTTCCATTGTTGAGTTTCCACTGCTACGAAATTTCGTTACCGTCTCGGATAACAGCGGTGGAATTGTCGATAAAATCACGGCGAGCGATCCTGTTCAAACTTTAATTATTCGCATAAAGCTCGTCGACAGTGCGCTCGTTTCTGTTTTACGACACTGAGAGACGGAAAAAGGCGGCGAAGGGAGACCTGAATTGGATGTGGCAGCGCGACGAGAACCAAAATGAATTTCTCTTTTTGCGCCTCGAAAAACGTATCACGAAATTTACTTCGTAATAGATACGCGAAATACTTACGTCAGACTTTCGTCGACATAAATTGTCGACAGTTTATGAAATACAGCTGACGAAAATGAAGGAAAATACGCTTACATCCGCTTATCGGTCTTCTGTTAAACTTGCATAAAATTTATTAAAGCTGTATGAAACATTTCGAGAAATGCAATGTGAGCGAATTGCGACGAAGAGAACCAAATAAAAGGAAAAAGATGAAATATATTCTACGACGATAAATTTCGAGATTGATTTGTAAGCTTTTTTTTATGTACAAATTAGAGTTATCATAAAAATGTAAACGTTGCGTAAATGTTATTAAAAGAACATTAATCGGCTTATAACATTCGAGAAATAAATTCATACATTATTATTTTTTAAAAGCTGGGGATTTAAATGTAAAAAAAAGTATAAAAATCTGTTTATATATATTAATATTCTACGTACTAAAAATCGAATTATTTCATAAAATTTTACAAACACTTTTTTTTAATTTGATACGAAATCACATTTATCTGATAGTGGCGAGCGATATTTTCAGTAGTTCGACATCGACAAATCTGGCTGACGAAGTACGAAGTACATTTATTTGAACAAGCTTTGACGTAAGTAACTACTACCACAGGCGTCTCGTGAAATAGAGTATCGGGAGAGACGAGTAGTAATCGACGACACAAGTCAGTCGATGCGCGCGGCACAAAGGCTGTCTTTCTTCGGCCCGCGATCGGCGACGTGCCTGGCGCGTTTCTCAGGAAATTCCATTTGCCATACCGCGATTTATACGAATTCGTCGTGGTCCGGAGTATGCGGTCGAAAACGGGAGACTTGTTGGTCGGTGGAATCTTCGAATTTCCTAACTGCCTTTGGACCCTCGGCTTTCAGGAAGTCATATACGTGCACTTTGGGATTCGAAAATGATTACATTTCGAATTACAGTCCTTTGTTTCATCCTTTTCTCGTAAAATTAACAAACGAAATTTAAAAAAATAGAATGTCCAGGAGTTATTATTCGTTATATTTCATATATTTTATTTTCTCTTCCGATAACTGATACTCGCATTGGTTTTATACGGTTTAATTTTTCGAAGATAAAATAATTTTTAATGATGCGAATTGAGGGTAAATTGTGATAATCTTCATCAATCTGAATAATGGATCGATTACAGAATATTTTTGCCTTGATAATGCTCAAAATTGTCGACGCATATAAATGAATAATTATTGCCATTTGTCTTATGAAACATTAATATAAATTCATTGATCACTGCTTGATGCGCTTGATGCTTTGTTAGGGGGGAGAATTTTACTATGGCATTACACACTTTATCTAACAAGTACTACCGATCGATAGAAACGCACTCTCGTATGCGACCATGTTCATCAGGAATAAATATTGACCAAATGACATATTGCCTCTGGCCATTACCTCCTCGCCGGTGCGCCTCTGGCAATAATTATTGCTGCTCCGCCGGTGTAATTGGCGGACGCTCGGCTTAATAGTGTCAGTGTTTGTCCGTGTTTGTCAGTACTAGATGTAGATAAAGTATATGCAATGTTGATTCCGTCATTAAGGATCCGTAATAGCTATCTTAATCATTTTGCATTTCAAGTGAGTAATGTGCGGAGAAAACGACAAACTAAGAGGTTCCTGCATTTCACGTTTAAATAATTTTCTTTAAAAGTTTATCTTATTTTTATGCAATATTTTATTTTATACTTAAAGGAGCTTGTTGAGTTAATTGAATGTTATTGTTTTATTTTTGTTCAATTGTAGCGACGGTGTTCGACAAAATTGCTTTTTGCACGATTGAATTGCTCTAGAATGTAGAAATGTAAGAGGATATTAGTTTTCCGAGAGTAATTAATTTGCATATGTCAAGTTGTATGTGATTAAAAACGTATTTCATATAAATTACACAGCTTATCAAAAGATATTTTGATATTTCAACCGTTCTTGACATTTAACTTTTACATTTTGATTCGGAATTGCAACCGAGATACTCGCTAAATATATGCTATTGAAAATTTGGTATACATAATTGTTCTCGGAAAATTCATCCACTTTTTCATTAAAATAAAAAACGCTTTATCTGTTTGGCGACAAACATATCTCGCAACTGATATAACTTTTTGCGAAGAAAGTTAAACTTTGTTAGGTTGATAAAACGTTGAATGCGCGGCAATAGAAGTATCGCTCGTAGAACTTGGTTTTCTTGCGGCAAGAACATAAAAATGTCCGAACGTAAGTACATCTGCCCACAAGTATTACGTGTTCTCTGGCATCGGGGAAAAATAATGAGTTTGCCAGTACTTACGGAACTGCGGAGATTATTGCGAAGCTGTGCGGAATAGCGCGGTCTGCGCAACGAAATGGATCCTCTGGTTTTTAAATAACTGAGAAACATGAGTGCCCGTGGGAGAAAGAGGTATAATGGATGAGGTTTTAAGTGGATTTATCCCTTTATCGCGAACGCTCGACTGTCCCGCTCCATTCATCGTACACACGTCGCAATAGTTACAGCTCGTAAAAAAGCAGACGTAACTTTTTAGCACATAGCATCTGCTGTGTGAACTAAAAATTTACGCTTTCAGGCTGTTCGAACTATTAACTTCGGACGTCAAGGAAAATCCAAAGAGGAATATTATTTAAGATGGCGAGGCGTAAAGGAATTATTTATTTTTGAAATAATTAAGCGCGGTTTATGAACGGAATAGATTCTATTAAGAGTTTAAATTTGCATTATATGTATTCTTTCTTCACACAATTTCTATTATGTATCTGTGTATTTATCAGCTGTACAGTATTATAATGTTTTATTGTTTATTTTATTATTAATTATATTTTACAGCAAATTTTCCTGCGAAATATTTTAAACTATATATATGCAAATATTATTATAAATTTATTGTAATTTTTAGATACACGCATTACTTATTCAAAACAATTAATAAATGTGTATTCATTTTTAATGTCTAACCGATAATTTCTGACGCGGAAAAAATATGGCGTCAATTGTACGCTGTTAAAAATGGTGGCCATTTTATTGGCTCTTACGATTTCGTGACAAGATAATTCGTTTCGGTGATCAAAATCATTCTTGCTTACATCATCGCTGTTAAGTGAATGCGATAGAAAATAATAAAGCCACACACGTCATTGTCGCGTGATAGCCGCAAGCGTTCCGATTTACAATCGATGGCATACAATGAATACGTAAATGATAACTCCGCGTTGATAACCGCAAAATGTGTATAAATAGGATAATCGCCGAAATTGTTGCAGTCCGCTTTTGGGAAATGCCGAAAACGGTCGTACATTTTCTGAATTCTCGATCGCAATTCAGCGTGGTGCAATTTACGTTTGCCATGTTGTAATTTCTAATTTATCTATTTAATTATTCATGTAATGTGTTATGGAGCGCGAGTGTTTCCCGTTGAATTTCGAAAGGTCCCTCGCCATCCGTTAATATTACATACACTGAATATAAACGGAAAAATCCATAAGCACATGATGTAACAGATTCTCCGTGAAACTTGATGAAAATTTCCTTTTAACTCAAATTCGATGATATTGTTTCTCTCAACTTTGGTATTAAATTAAAATTGTATTATCTTGCTTTACTTAGCCATCGCTGAAAGTTTTGTCTTTGAAAATGCGCCGCTGTAAACGAAATTTTTCTGATTTATATTTAAATATGCTTTTTGAGCTCTGATCGTTAATGGCGATGGATTTTTCGAAGAGATAGAACTTTGGCATCGCCAATGGCATTTTTTTTTTTTTTTACGAGCACGCACACGATGAAGTCTACATCAGTCGGATAATGCTACGTAAAAGCATCAATGTGGTTACTTGCTCACTTGCTGATGAAATTTTCGTTCATCGTGTTACTAGAAAAGGGAAATGGATGGCGGCGAGTATATTTGAATAAATCCAATCTCTATGTCTCACAACTTACACCTTTTGCTATATCGTATACATATTTATGTGCGCAGTCTACAATACCGGAGAAATTGTAAACTAGAAACATATTAATTTTTAAAACTCTGAAAAGCTGCGAAAAAATAGTGTTGAGCTATCTCAAAATTATAATGGAAAAATATTGGAGATTTATTCAATCTTTTAATTTGAAATTAAATATTTTCTTTTAAAGTTATTTTATCATAACTTAAAAAATTTGTCATTTTTAAATAATTTATAAAATGCAAAGTTGAAAGAAAAGAAGACAAGAAACAAAATTATTATGTCTCTATGGATTTTCCGTTTTTATATTCTGTGGATAAACCTGCAAAGATTTCTCTTCGCCACGAATTGACATTTGAACTTTTTCTTCATGAACATTTATTTGTCTGTTTCAGGAAGGTGCCGTGGTGCCGGTTGCGGTTCAAGATGTCGAGAAAGGTAAGAATTGAATTTTTCGAAACGTCGGTCACGCGCGCGCCGATGTTGCGGCGACGTTGGATGAAATTTTCAGAAACACATTTCCGCCACAGTCGCCGTCTTACAACTTTTGCAATGTGCTCGCACGCGCGGCCAGTGGTTTCTAGCCTCACGTCGCATGACATCACGCTTTGACGAGCATTTCGAAACACAGTTTTGTCATCGCCCGCTGCTACGTGTCCTGTAAAAACAATAGAGCTGTTGCGCGATCAACGTAATGACATGATTGTGTGGTGCATAGTGATAGGAGCGCAATATTTTGGGAACGTTTGGCCAATCGATAATAATTGGTTTATATGTCGGTCTTGCATATCAATATTGTATTTCCGATTTGTTAATGCACCCATTTATTCACACGCCGTCATTTATATAGTGCGCTCGATAAAATATTATAATCTGCACAATAATTCGTTTTGGCAATACCGCAGAGATGCTCTTGATCGGTTTTTCGATGGATTTTAGATTGCCGATAAAACATTGTGCCATATCGTGTTATTTCAGCGCGAAATTTACGAATTCATTGATAATTGATAATCCATCAATATTTAGCGACACTTTCTACAATTTCAATCAATAGAATTCTTTACAAAGTCTGCAGTGCACCACGAAATGACGTCAATAATACGTCTTTGAACTTAAAAGAAACTTTAACGCTGTTTTCCATTATTTAACTTTATAATAAAAATAGATACTTATAAGATTATGAAAATTAAAAAAGGAGGGTGATAAAACGTCTCTAGATTTGCGCGATTTCTTTTCAAAACTTTATAAAAGTTTCATACAATATTCTCTCTCTCTCTCTCTCATTTGATCTCGTTGAAGAAGTTAAAATTTAATATTTTATAATCTTTTAATTAATACTTCTGGGATGCTTGGATTTAAACTTTCTAAATACGTTTAAAAGGATTTGGAATTATTACAATTTTCAGACAATCTTTTATATTTACGTGACAACATTCAGATATTTTTGATATTCAGATGATGAAATACTTGTAAAACTTGTAAATTTCATGTACAGAAATTTTGTAATAAAACTTGTGAAATTTTTATTACAGATATACGATAGATAGATGTAGATTGATGTAGAAAAATTTGATCAAATAATTTAGATTTATTGACACATTTAAAGTTCAGGATAGATAGACGAAAAAATACGTACTTTAAAATTTATTTAAGTCTAAACAGACTTTTAAGCAATATTTAAAGTCTTATCTCCAGCATTTATCTTTCATCTTTTCACGAGAGATGCTCAGACCAAGCTGACCCTTAAACGCAATCGCCGTTAATCTCACGCATCTATACGAGCGCGCCGCGTTTCAATCAGTGCGGGCACGCGAGCGTGAGCGTTACAAGTTTTCGATTAATCGCAGTAGCTGCTCCAATTTCGAAGTCCACAGTCGCCTTGGTAGCGCGCACGTCATAACGTGCCTACGTTCGGACATTGTCTCGGAGACGTGGGATATTGATTTCTCCGGCCCCCCTTGAATGAGAGGCGTGTCTGCTTCGTTTATAATGGGATGATCAACAATTATTTTCGGCTTTGTGTTTCGGGATTATCGTCTGCGTATCCAGAAGCGCGAGAGATTATCATAAACAATTCCCCCGATTTAAACGCGCATCGCTGATACGCCTATTGCCTCTCTGTCTGCATGGATAATCGGATGTCGATTTTGCATCAACAAGGAATGCTCTCGCATTAGATTTACACGCTATGTAATGATGCAATAATGCGTGCAAATTTTCCAATTATTTAAGCTTTATTCGCATTACTCAGTTCAATTGGATCGTTTTACATGTAGTTCGGATTTTGAAATATTCAACGCGGCGTGTATTTTCAAATTGAAAAGCAAAAAGGCAATGTGGTTCTATTGAATCAGTGATTTTAAGTCTTTGACGGCGCAGTGGTTACGATACAAAGCTATCCCTTTCACCCTGCTTTTTTCGCTCAATTTGCACAGCGGTTTCACTTGGCCACCGCTCTATCGCAATCTATCGGTCGCTAATAATGTCAGGGAAATTCAATTTCTTTGTGTGTTTATCTGTAATCAATTTCTTTGTATCTATTTATCTATAAAGGTTGATACATTCGATGCTAATATCGCTAAAAGCGTTATCTCGTGTACACTTTTTATATTACACGCAACAAAGACAAAGAACTCAGACATCCGACAAACGTGTCCACGTTGAGCATGGCAATACGACGTTTAAGTTTTACAAAATGTTTTTCCCAAAAGTAATTATCAGTGTAGTCGCGTTCGAGAAACCTTAAATACTGTTCAAATGTGGGATGAACGCAGTCTCCGGGTTTACGGTAAGCATTTCTATTTCGCTTTGAGTTGGAGCTACCGAGGCTTTAATTGAACCACGATAAACAGCATGGGGAGGGGGGGGGGGGGCGGTTTGCGGACAAGTCGATGAGGAGAAATTCGCACTACGGGCGATTTCACGAGTTCTCTATTGCACTCTCTTTCTCCGGCTGTACAGCCGATGTTTGCCGAGTTCTTCGCTAAGCAGAAATAATCGGACCCGCCGCTTTCGCTGCGATCGATACGCGTTTATCAGCGTTCCCGGCCTGTATAGCGGGACGGGTCCTTTGACGATAAAGCACAGCATATAAATATTTGACAGCGGGATGACGCTGTATAAACGCGTTCCGCATATTTCGCTCACGGCGATGAGGATCCGCATTTTAATGTCTCTTTTTTTGCGGATTTATATCGCAGGTAATAGCGTTTACGCGCGGGATATAAATAATGGCGAGAACCATCTCGCGCTCTTCTTGCGATAATAAACCGCTGCCTCGTGATATTTCGTTCAGCGAAACGCACCCTGACACGATGCCTCCGCGCTTTTTCCCATTTCCTCGTTTTTCGGTGTGTTTTCGTCAGCAACCGAAACATAAATCAAATTGCGATAGCGAACATTTTTTTTAATTCTTCCGTGGAAGTCTCCCTATTTTTCTTCCCTTGCCGCAGAAATGACAACTCATGTACCGTAATTCTTTTGCATTGATGCTCATAATAATTTGAATAACATGGGTTCATCAGTATTCTTATGTCTCTTTAGGGATAGAATCTCCAAAGGTAAAGTATTATTGTGTATGAATATATGATAAAATTGTTTCATGTGACATGAGTTGAATTTTGTTTATTTATGGAATTTATTTTAGATGAAATTTTTGAAATATTAATATAATTAAAAAACTGAATAATATAGTTTGTGCTTATTATGATTAATGGAAATTAACAAAAGGAGAATGACTTCGCGACTTTCTGACTTATTGTTAGTTAGCTAATAGTAACTTTTTGAATTATATAATTGATTAATATTTTTTATGTAATAATTATAATCCGTAATTACTCGCGCAAAGTCTAAAATATACTTTAATTTTTGAAATTTGATATAAAAATTAGATAACTTTTTCGTCGATGAAGAATTCTCATCTGTTTTTAAATGATGAAAAAACATACTCTGCAAATATAAATGAATATAATGGATGAATATAATGGAAATTTTAGAAGCATTGCTTTTATTCATATCATATCATTGTCATTTTGTCATTACTCATATTATTATGTCACAAAAAGTTTTTATTATGATTTACGTATTCGATTTACGTAAAGGAATATTCTTTTATAGAGAAAACGACATATTTTCTCTTTTTTGTTTTTACATTTTCTGTAATTTTCGTTTCGGTCATAATCGCATTAGCGCGAGTTCTCGGATCCGCTCACTCCGTATTTCTCGCATTTTTTTTTCTCGTTGAAAATGAATCTCACGTACGAGTATCGAAAATGCTAAATTTAGTGACGGACGATTATTTCGAGCTATTTTATTTAGTATATTCGCGCGATTGCGTCCAACGCGTTTTTCAATCTCTGAAATCAAAGCCTGTCGTTCCGCGTTTCATGCGCGACTCTATTTTCCGATACGCGTTTTATGTGCGTATTTTGCGCTCGTCGTTCATCCGACAAGCGTCACGTGTGCCATCCAGCATTCGCATTAAGGAGGAATTATTGAGGAGCATCAGCGATATCATTGAGGGATTGCCGCAATGGATTCATCAAAGCAGATGACGCCGTTTGCGTGAGATGTGAATTAGTCGCGTTTACAATGGCACTTTAAACGTTGCTCAACCGTCACGTCGATCGTTCTCTGCGCTGTGACCGAATCGCGATCATTTCACGTTCTCGCCTCTTTATCTGTCCCGAGTGAATTCCACGTGTACACGGGTGTCGGGAGTGTCGAATTAAACAACGGGCGATCGTTTCGATGCATCTATTAATCCGCGGGATCGCAATTACCACGTTTTTCGATGTTTGTACAAGCGGCGCTGAAATAACCGAGAGTGAAGTGATGAATATTACAAATTTTCGAACGATCTGCGTGAAATCTTTACTATCGGTGAAGAGAGATGCCTTTGCTTTTTGTGACTTTTGAACGTATCCCGGGAGTGTCGAATCGAGCAACGGATAATCGCATGAAATGTTAATTGCCGCGTGAAATAATGGATTATTGAAGTTTTAATTTCCCGAAGCGCGAACGAAATGAATTAATGAACGAACGAGGTGCATTATAATATGCGAGTGCATAATAATCGAGAACTGTGTAATGTATTCGCGAGGATGATTATCTGAAGTGAAGAAGAGCAAGGAATAAAAGGAGCAAAGCAGTTATCAGAATCGGAAGGAGTACAGTAGCGGCGCACCGATCGGTGAGTGAGGTTTATTTCACTTACATGATTGCCGATTTATTTGTTAATTTGAAAATTATTGTGAAAATATTTATTAATCGTTTGACCACTGGTTCATAATTTAATCCACGATTATTTTTGCCCTGTTTATATCTATAATTTGTCAATGATGATTACTGAACAAACTACTCAGCAAATATATTTTGCTGCTTAATTTGCATATATCTTGCTCAACTATGAAATCTAAAAAGAACAACGAAATATATAC